TCAATCTTAAAGAATCCCCACTGTTTTGGAAGTGCTGAAATCAGTTCACGTACGGCGTGGACGGCCGCCTCAGCACCACCTTTCACGCCGACGCCCAATTGGATAGGATAGAGTTTGGCTTTGACCTGTTCCAACACTAGCGCCAGAGCGCACTTACTGGCCAGCCTCCTCCAGAAATCCCCACCGCGATGGGTCTGATCCCTCCATCTTTTTTGTTTAAAGCCACCAGACGGCCCCCAAAAAAGAAACGGCTAACCGCGGGAGGGCAGACCCCAGATAACAACAAATTTACAAACCGGGTGAGGTTATTTAACAATTCATCGGTGGGCGTCGGACCGGAAAGTAAATCCTTTATGTGCTGAGGCCTCAAGCCATCAAGGCCTCCCGATGAACCATTATTAAACGACTTTAAAGCCGTCAACACCTGGGCTGGTGAAACGCGACCATTGGACGGCTCCTGCGCGGGGAAAGCTCGTCTGTTCAATGGAGCACTGGGATTAATAGCTTTGAGTTTAGCGAGTGTCTAGGCGAGCTCTCCGCCAGGCCTGCGGGCAAACAAGCAAGTCTGACGGCCGCCGAGAGACTGCCCTGTTCAATCCGAGTGGTTACTGCACTAATCCAACTGTTTGGATTGTGCTTACGCGGTTTGGTGTTGTGGTCAGTGTTGAAGCTTGCCACAATAAACTCGACCTCGGTCGAACTGAATTCGGCCAACCGTTTAATAACGTAATTGGCTTGATTAGTCCTGCGACCGCCCCTGGTTGGCTTGAACAAAACAAATGCGAAAAAACATTGGAGCCTGCACCAATAGGCCGCGTCGCAGGGATCATCGCAAACGGCCGTCAATAAAGCCGACAATGCTTTAGATACCTTGTCTCTGCACGGTTTGGGAACGTGATCATACAGATGGGCAGTCCTCAAAACGACCGTCAGCCTGTCAAAAACATGAAAAAAATCCACTTGGGAGGGACTCTCCGAGACCGACGCCGAAGAACCGCGTGTAGCAACATGAGGGTTGATGACAGGTGCAGCGGTAAGCGGCGGTCGCGCGGAAGTAGATGAACCAGCCGGAGGCTGGTCGGCTGCCTTGAACGAACCAGGGCATTCCTGGCCCTTCACTTTGCCTCCATGTCGATATAGTTTACCGTCCGGTTTTATTTTATAATGATTTAAACAAACCGTGCATTGGTATAGGACCGGTGCCATTACGTCAACGAAATAAAATCAAAAGCGAGTAGATAAAACCGTGTGAACAGTGATAAAATAAAATAAATAAAATTGTGGTGAAAATAAAAAGGTTTAATTTTAAATTTAAATAAATTTAAAAATTAAAAGAAAAACTGGGAATGAAACAGAGAGAACAAAAATGAATATTAATGAGCATTGTACGGTGCAGCTGTAAAAGCCCACAGCTGTTGTTAAAGTATGTTAAAGCTAAAATTAAAAATTTGAGACCACAAAAGTTAAAAAACCAACCGAACGGCGGGAACCTAATCTGAAAAAGGGCAAAAAAGCGACAACCAATAAAAACCACACCAAAAAAACCGAAATTATTGCAACAAAAACCTTAAAAACCAGAAATATTACTAAAAATTAGCGAAATACTAAAAATGTGAAAGCCGACACCAGCTGAGCGAACGTGTATGTATGTATGTATGTATGTATGTATGTATGTATGTCAGATAAAACTATAAACAGATAGATGATAGTCAAATGTGACAAACGTCTCTAAAGTCACAAACATGTGTTGTATTATATTGCACTGTATTACATTTTTTTTGTATTGAGCTTTATTTCATTATTAAATATTTTTTTAAATACATTTAATATCTTTTAAATACATTAGTAATAATTGCTCGATAAGTATTGTGTGTGTGCGTGTGTGGTGTGTGTGTGTGTGTGTGTGTGCGTGTGTACATTTTTTGCCGCCAACCATATTTCTATCTAAATCCTACTAGAATCTTTTGTTGTTCGTTTATTAAAAAAGTTAATAAGTTTGACTTGCTCATCAGCAAACAAGAAAGTCAATTAGTTTGAGGCGAATGTTGTTTCAGCGCACACACGTATGCATAAATAATATATACACTCATTAACATTTTGCATGGCCGCAAGCTTTCTTAACGCAAACGAACAATCGATATCAATCAATCGATCAATCAAAATATCAATCGATAATAAAATTGAATAAACTTATAAAAGTCATTTAAACCTTTTTTTTGTTTATACAAACACATGGAACATGGCTCCATTTAATATAATATTTCCACTCACTGCATTTAAGACACACACATGCATGCTTTCATGCACACACTCACGCACACACACAAACAAACAAAACACTCACTCACTCATGTATATTTGCATGCATGGATATTTTCACACCCTTACACACATACCACACGCGCACACATTCCACACACAAACACATACCACACAAAGAGACACACAAAGAGAGAGATAGAGAGAGAGAGGGGAGAGAGAGAGAAACATGTTTGAACTCATACACTCACCTTGTATACTAAGCAAGCATTCATACAATCAACTTTCATCTGGTTGAAATCGGAGTTGATCAGTAGTGTGTTGCCTGAGTTGTTCTGTTCACGTTTTGACACACGCACAAAATACAAAGGCATTGTTATGTTAGTGTTGTGTGTGTGTGTGTGTGTGTGCGTGAGTTCTTGTGAGCACCGCGTATTTTAATACTAACTGAAATGTTAAATAGGTTGTATGTGTGTTTTGTATGTGTATGCATACACTGTCTATGCCCTGTCATTGTTAAAAAAACAAATTAACAAATTTAAAGCGGATGCAACAACCCAACAACAACCCAACAACAACGCAACCACTCAACAACAACAACCCAACAACAACAACCCAACAACAACAACCCAAACCAATCTAAATCTTGTTTGTTTGTGAGACGCATAATAAGAACGTATAAATTATTTCTAGAACGATTGCTAATTAACTTGACCGTCAACAGACCAGTGGCGTATTTATGTTGTACTAGGACGAACGAGTCTTCATTTTTTTAAATTAAAAGACAAAGTCTTTACGACCTTTATTTGACGGGTGATCGGTGAATAATCATAAATGTGCGACCAAATGGCGTAAATGGACGAGTGCCTGCTCCTACTTCTACAGTAACCTGGTTCGAATGCACAGGTAAGGTACGTGTTGTTGAAGTGGATGTGTGCACGTGAATAAACATTCACAGCTCCATTAGCTGCATGTGTACTTTCGTTCAGAATTATTCAACTCATCTGCATCTTCTACTGATAAATTAGAGTACTGAACTTCAATGAATATTTCATTTATAATCTTGAGTAACTCTACTATCGTTTTGAATGGTACAATTAAACAATCCTTACATACCATACATTGTAAAAAAGAAGATTGACCGAACGTTTTCAGACAAGAATTAAAAAAACTTTGTATATAATAATTGTTTATTATTCAATTAAAAATTGAAAATTTTCACAAACTTGAAAATGGCACTACAAAACTTGATCATTCCAAGCACAATACTATCACCTCATCATTAAACGTTAAAAAAGAATTTGGCATTTGTAAGTAAAATCTCGCAAGAAGACATCATCAAGTTGTATTTCACGACGGATGGTGCAAGTTGCGTCATCAAATTACATAATAATAATCCAGTGTGGTTTATTTATACAACAGAAGATGCTTAGTGACGTAGCACGCTTAACAAGCATAAAAATTATAAAGTCAAGTGTCGGCTGGTTGGGTGCGTGTTATGTATGTGTGCATGCATGTGTGTATGTATGTATGTGTGTGTATGTATGTGTGTTTCTTTGTTTGTATATGTATGCGTACGTTTGTACAGTAATGTATGAATGTTTGTATCCTTGAGAGACCATGACGAGTCTGGTAGGACGTGCAGCAGAATTTTAATAATAACAATAATAACAACAAAAATAATAATAATAATTAATACAACAATAATTCGATTATTATTTATTTTGTTTAACAAAAAATTGTCTCAAATATGCAAACAAAAAGTATAATCAACTTATGGAAATCAAAAGATCAAATTGTAATACTCAACTGAATGCAGTTTGATTGAAAGAAATTGAAAAAAAAAAAATCATGATGCAAAATAACAAAAATAATAAAAACTTTGTTCGGATGGACGATTTGGGATCACTCACTCTCTCTCTCTCTCTCTTTCTCTCTCTCTCATCCACGCACACACACGCACGCACGCACATCCACAAGGAGATGGTTGATTCAATCAATATTTATATTTAAACACGAAAATAACACATAAATAAGTTAAACAAATGTTTATAACTTTAACATAGCATCGTTTTTACAACATAACGTAACATAACATTTTTTTTTATATAGCATGCGTTTATAACATGCATTTATAACGGTTTGTTTTATTTGTTAAAATTTTATTTTTCATGATTCTTATCAATCCGAAGAGCAAAAATAAAAAGTTAAGACATTCACTTTTGATAAAAATTTTGAAAACAAAATGCTTCTGATAACTGAACGCAACTATAGTTTTTATAAAACTTTATTTACATTCATGTGAAAAAATAATACATTTTCAACGAAAAATTCAATATGTACTAAACAAATTCGTTAATTTATTAAGAAGATATTTTTCGAATAAACGAATAAAATATAAATATATACACATCAAGTAATGTTTACACCATGTAATAAAAGCGCTTTTTACGGGTACATTACAAAAATGATTACATTACATTGCAATAATATAATAATTACGTAATGATTACACCAAGTAATAATAAGTACGTCAATGGCATCACGTGACGATGACCTCATCACGTGACGACGATGACCACAGCGCGTGACGATGAAGACCACACCACGTAACGATGACCACACTACGTGACGATGACTACATCACGTGACGATGACCACATCACGTGATGATTACAAATACAACTTATCAAGGTCATCGAAGCCATCGTTCTCCTGTCCCTCGACCTCGTAGATGCTGTTGTGCATGGCCAGTATGCGAAGTAGTGGCCGCAACTTGCACCACCACACCTCCTTCGATATGCGATGTCTGTGGTGGTATAATAATAATAATAATATTATTATTATTATTATTATTATTATTAGCGGTAGTAGTAGCAGCAGTAGTAGCAGCAGTAGCAGTAGCGCAGTAGTACTAGTAGTATTAGAAGCAGCAGCAGCAGCAGTAGTAGTAGTAACGGTAGTAGTAGTCGTTGTTGTGTAGTAGTAGTAAAAGTCGTAATAGTGGTAGTAGTGATAAATGATATAGCTTGTTTGAAAATTGTTATTGTCGTCAGCAAGGATAGCACAAACATTAACCTCGGGAATATGAAACCTTAGAGCATTTCAATAACAATGCAACGCTACAACCACGTGATCAAAAGCAACACGCCCAAAATTATAAATTGTAAGCCCGGCTAGCTCAGTCGGTAGAGCATGAGACTCTTAATCTCAGGGTCGTGGGTTCGAGCCCCACGTTGGGCGTAAATTTTTGTTCTCTTTTTAATTAATAGAATAATAACCTCCAAACTATCCACAGCCTCTCGAAATAACGGTATAAAAACACGTTAACACATCAAGAGTTATCAGACTTGACGCTCAACAAATTTACCATCAAACATTTCTACATCCGATATTTAAGAAGAAAATATTGAAATAAGAGCAAACCAAACTGACTGAAAGTCAGTTTTTTCTTTAAGTTCGAGGACTGGCGTGAAGAGACTCCTCTTCTTCTGCAGGCCTAGCAGTGTGGCTGTGTCTGAGGAGTTCGTGAAGACGCTTCCTGTGCCGTTTTGGTGGTGCGGTGTGGTTTTGTGGTTGATGTGTGATGTGGTGGTGGTTGTGTGGTGTGGTGGTAGTTGTGTGGTGTGGTGGCGGTTGTGTGGTGTGGTGACGGTTGTGTGGTGTAGTTGCGTAGTGGTGACATTCTGTATTAATGCTGATTAATGAGTTTTAATAACGTTGGAAGTACGATGCTACTTCTTAACAATATTATCACTATCTTCATCGTCGATCTAATCATTGCTATCATTTCGATAAGCATTATCATCACTAAGCGCTATTTTTCAACAACTCAAAGTATATTATCTCCATTTTCGGGCGATTATTGAAAGCTTCTTTTTTCCGGTGCTAAATAAAAAAATTGTCAGCATCACCATAACTATCCTCCTCATCATCATCATGGTGATCGTCATCATAATTATCATCATCATCATGGTGATCGTCATCATAATTATCATCATCAGCGTCATCGTAATTATCATAGGAAGATGAAGGACCTTCTGGTGTTTTGTTCTCCTCGACTTGTTTGGCTAGCAGTTCCGCGCACTTGGCGGCCATCTTCGTTCCCATGTTGCGGTCGAATGGACTCGGCTGACCACCCTGAGTTCGTTTGTTTCCAAGTTATCCACCGATAACGCCATCATCATCATCATCATCACCATCATCATCATCATTTGTGTCATCAGCGAGCGTAATACATCATGCAAGAAGAACATGTTCAAAATAAAAAACTCTACGAACCAACACCAGCCTCATTCTGCCCGCAACGTCATTATTACGTCACAAACATCACCACACAACCATCGAGTCAATTCAATTACTCAGCCGACTGATCCGACCAATCAGTAAAGCGGAGGAGATGATGACGTACTTGTTGCATGTGACCAAGGACATTCAGTCTGCACTGGAAGATGTTCCTGCCCTCCTCCTGGTACAAACGTGTTATGAAGTCACTCGTGTAGTTCTCGTTGGCCTTCTCATTTCTGCAGCAAATTTTCTCAATGAGGTTGACGCTCTACTAATATCGTTAACAATCTTTTCATCCATCCATCCATCCGTCCATCCATCCGACCAACTAACCATCCATCCGACCAACTAACCATCCATCCAATCAACCAACCAACCATTCATCTATCCATCCGACCAACCAACCAACCAACCAATCATCCAACCAACCAACCGACCAACCTCATGACCATGCCTCTCTTGACACCCCCTCGTATTTTGGATGCAAGATGATTCACATCTCCCTAAAACAGACAAACACTAATTAGTCCGGTCAATGAATGAATGAATGAATGAATTAGTACGTGAACAAATGAAGGAATATATAAATTAATTAAGGAAATAATGAATCAATCAAGCAAACAAACTAAAAACCAAAAAATCGACCAAATTTACAAAAAAATATTTCTGAAATGCTCTATCGATAGAGCAGCCTAATCACGTGCAAGTTTACGATGCGACAAAGAGGTTATTCCAACAGGAAAACAGCCCAGCGCACCTGAAGGTCGGTGATGTTGAATGGTTCCTCGAAGATGTAAGCAGCATCAGCACCACTGGCCAGGGCGCTGAGTGTGGCCAGGTAGCCGCAGTGTCCACCCATCGTCTCCAGCACGAACACTCGATTGCGAGTTCCTGAGGCAGATTGTTTGATGCGGTCTGCTATCTGTTGGCAGGAAGATCAGGAGAAAGTTTGGGTGAACTTTTATTGGCGGGCAGAACTTTAAATGAGTTTCAAAATTATCCATCAATAAAAAAACCATTCAATCAACCAGTTGTCCCATCAAGCTAGCCAACCAATCGTAAAAAACAAACAACCAATCAACCAACCAACCAATCAACCAACCAGCCAACCAGCCAACCGACCAACTAATCAGCTAGCCAGCCAACCAACCAACCAATCAGCCAAACAACCAACCTCAACGATAGCATTGAGAGAAGTATCTGATCCGAGACTGAAGTCAGTGCCAGGAATATTGTTGGAGATGGTGGCGGGCACCATGGACATTGGTATGCAGAACTCTCTGTACGCTGAACGAGCTTCCGTCAACTGCAAGATGCTCTCAAATGCCTAATGATGGCGAAGATGATGGCGATCATGATAGCGATATTGGTAGTGATGATGATTATTTCCAAAAAAAATCGAATAACATAAGCATTGCAAAGATGAAGACGAATTACTCAACAGAATGAATAAAACACTAAAACGATAATGACGATGACATAGCGAACGAGAATATGTGATAATAAAATGATAATAATATAATAATAATTATTATTATTATTACAATAATAATAATAACAAAATAACTCCGCCTATCATATGCAATGTGTATGATGCGTGGTTTGCACGCGTATTCTTCATATACGCTGTGTGCGTTTGTCGCTGAAACCTCTGAAGCAAACGCAGCGAGAGAGAGAAAGAGAGAGAGAAAGAGAGAGAGAGAGAGAGAGAGAGAGAGAGAGAGAGAAAGAGAGAGTAAGTAACCTTTAACCTTCAACAAATAGCCTATTAAATAAACAAATGAGTCGGAAAAATAGTGGCGAACCTCGAATCCACCAATGATAAGGAGACCGTGGATGCTGAAATGTCGCAATTTATCCGCTACACGATCCAATCCAACTTTCGATGGTGTCGTCCTGAGTGTCAACGATCCATCTATCAATCCATCCTTCTTTCAATCAATCCATCCATCCACCAAATAATCTATCCATCAATCAATCAATCAATCAATCCATCCTTCCATCAATCAACCCATCCATCAATCAATCCATCCACTCACCAATTTAGGAACCAATCAATTCACTGATCCAACAGTCAATAGATCAACCTGAACATCAATCAACCTCAATAATCATTTAACCATCCATCTATCAATCAATCAATCCAATTATCCATTCATCTATCTATACACACATGAATGAATCAGTGATCAACCAATTATTTTGAAACGAATGACAATGAAGCAACTGAGATTCAGTAAGACAGAACTCTGGGGACGTGAAGTCTCAACATCCGACTCGCTCATCATCAGCATAAAATACTCTAAAATCAACCAGCTTTTTTATTGCCATCAAAATCGAATCATCATCAATTACAAAAACATCGGAAACAACAACATCAGAAACAACAACATCAATAGCAACAATAACATCATCAACCTCAACAACAACAATAACAACAACGTCATCAATATCAACAACAACAACGTCATTATCAACATCAACATCATCAAAAACATCAACGTCACGATGACGATGATCGCCCGCCCACCTGTTAGTCTTCAACCTGGCTCCTCCCGAACCGGACCATCCATGAACGTCAGTCCATGACAATGACACCACCTGTCCAACCGGACAACGTTGTCCAGTTCAAAAAATATACAATTATGCATGCATGCGAGTGAATTAACTATTGAGAATGAAAGTTACACTTAGATAAAAGTGATGCATGCATATTTATTGTATGTAGTGTTTGTTTGTGTAGCCACATAAATGCACCATCCCTCATTCATTTACATATCACGATGGCGTAACACATGTGTTTTGAAATATCTAAATCGCTCGTCGCTAACACATACAACGCTGTGTTAAACACACCTTTGTAGTTACCACCGCTATTCTTGTCATTAGTCTAACCTCTCAACTGACCTCATTGCTAACCTCTCAACTGACCTCATTATGAACCTCTCAACTGACCTCATTATTGACGAGGCCTTCAAATCCGTTCTTGATGCCAAGGATTCTGAACCCCTTGGTGATCCCGATACGAACGAAGGAACGAACGGCTGCATTCATTCCGCAGGCCGGTGCACCAACAAACACAACTGCCAGGTTGAATGCTGTCTGTGGTGTCGTGTTGTATTAAGTTGTTGTGTTGAGGTGTGGTGATGTGTGTTGCTGGGATGATGGTGATGTGATCTCATGTTACTGTAGTGTTATTGTGTTAGTGGGTTGCTGGCTACATGCCGTGTTGTTTGATGCTGCGTTGATACGATGATGTCGTTGAGTTTTGGTACTGGTGGTCACGTGACAGTGATGATCAGGGCGATCACGATAATAATTGAAGAAGAATCATGAAGACAGTTTGAACAATATGATGAAACTAATGATGACAACTGTGTTAGCGAAAAAATTGATTAATGTTATTTTAATTTTGAAAAAAAAAATGAAAAATAACTATTCTAAAAAATGGTAAAAATTAGCAATAGTGACTATGAAACAAAAAAATATGTAAAGCTAATGAAGCAGAACAGAGTGCATGCAGTATGTTACATTTTTTGACTCGTGTGAGATAGCCAAACCATTCAGGGCATTGTGCATCAATTATAGTTGAAATTTTGTTAATCAGTAGCAACATTTATTATCAACGTTGATGTATTTCAGCATTATATTGCTACTGTTGTTAACTGACACGCGTTAACAGGTCAAACAATAAGAATAATGACAAGATAGTTTGGTATAGTAAGTTGGTGAAAAAATCCTCGATCATTCAAAAAGTTGGACTCTTCGACAACTTGATGCCAAAAATCAAACTCATGAAAATGTTGTTTATTCAACTGAGATGATTGAATAATAATTTAAATAATTTGAAATGGTTAAGTTAATAAGGTACATTAATGATTATAACTCAAAAAAAAGCAGCCGGCAAGCATGCGCTGATGAATGATTAATAACATGCATGCATCCACAACAAGCGATGACGACTGGCGATATAATCTAACATAACGCCTTAAAGGATCTTACAAATAAGTGATGTTTAAACGAAATTGGTGCATTAACTTGAAGAAAAATCATAAAATCGAAAGGTAGCCAACCACATTCAAGCATGATGCTCTAATTGTTCTTATCAGGCAGTTCTAACTCATACAGCTACCTACATATTGTTCCTTCCTTATTGCAATTAAATTTTTATACCACAAAATTGGTATTTCCACGTCGTATCATCTACATCTCATCTTTGTTCTTGTGTATCAGATAGAGTATTCGAACTAGGTCAGGTCATCACGAAATGATAACGATGCGAGATACCTTTCAAACCATTGGTTATTTATTTGATTAATTGATGAAAACATTTAACAAATGTTGAAAAATTTTTGACGATACAAAATTTCCTCTATGAACTCCACAAAGATTTCAGATTTTAAATGAATTTCCCTCTTTAAAAACAATTTTTCTAATATTTTAAAATATTCGAATCCACATTTTTGTTTATAAAAAATAGTTTTATGCTTTCTATTTCTACCAATCAATAAGTAATAAGAACAAGGCACGTTTAGATATTATTACGATTATATTGAACGTTCATACTAACACAGAAAGCTTTCTTCGGTGCTCTGGCCCTAGCTAGTGTGCGAAATGATTCCAAATTGGCCACAAAATCTCTGATGCAATTATTAAACCAAAAATTTTGTCTTAGTAGGAAAAAAATCTAAATAAGTTATTTGTTAGAAACAAGTGTATTGAAAATAACAACAGCAAAATAACGATTCGAGATCAGTTTAGCATCTATTGAAAAATAAACAACAGACACAAAACAGAAGGGAATCGTACTATTAGTTGTGAACTGAACAGCGTAAAGCAACAACGACACTCAGGCAGCGAAACAAGTGAATAATTTCGAATTGCAATCGTGAATAACAAGATCTAAATAAATAAAAAAAAGGTTGTTCAAACGATAAACTTCAAAGAATTTTTTCAAAATAATTAAAAATAATTCTTTAAATTAGAATGATTGACGGAAATAACAAAATTTGGTGAACTATCGGTTGGTTGATCACACAGCAACTGAAACAAATAAGAACTCAAAACTGGGAGCATCGTTAATGATGTTCGTAATTACAATCATTAGCAATACTAATAGCACTACAATTAATTAATACTACTACTGCTACTATTAATTATCGAGATTAACGTTAACAGACACCACCAGATGGGCGCAAATGCACACATTACCTGCTGTATGTGCCCCGATGGCTGGGCTTTGTTCAGAGTCAAAAAGTCATCTACGTTACTTGCAAAGCTCCTAATTAAACATCACGGGTACGTGTTTAATGCAAATCAATATCACGATAACAACATCAAAATTATTAGGCCTTTTAACATTTCAATCAATCATTTCCAATCAATCAATAAGTTTTTAAAGCGCCATTTCTGCGATGTTCAACAAAATTTCTCAATGAATTTTATTAATACAAACAGTTGGGTCTTGAGGTCCGCATTGAACTTCGTAGGAGAAGTAGTCAGAGACGGAGGTAGAGAGTTCCATTTGAAGGTTGTTTTTAAAGTCAAAGCCGATTAATAATATTTCATAAAAAAAGTGCATAATTTTGTGCTAAAAAAATTTCCAATACTTCAGAATTTTTTCAAAAATCTTTAAATAAACTGAAAGCATTGAAGATTAAAACAACAATCAATAAACATATATTGTTGCCAGCTTGAAACTGAATATTGGATTAGAACGCTGTAGAAATCAGCACAAACAAGTCTCGAAAAAGTTACTATTTTGCTACGAACAGAACGAACAAACTAATTGTACAGGTACACAGTGTATTGTACAGTTAAGTAAAAAATACTTTCTCTATAAAACTGCCATAGCCGTAAATTTGAAGTTATAAACTGCAAAAACTAATTTGCTAGTTAGACTATATATCTGTCAATGATAGATAGATATATAGAGATAGTCGTACACTTCCAACGCTCATACGATGTTTCATTAACATAAGGTAAATTTCAACAAAAACAACATCAACGACGGCTCTTCGTCTCCATCTTCAAATCGAAACACCATCTTAATCATCGTTAATCTATCCATCACGCATGATAATGATGATATGTCGACGTACCCAAGTTATAATGATATCACTGCAAAATTGCATTCATGAGTGGCATCATTGCCATTTTTACTATTATCATTATCATCAACGTCCAAGTTAACCAGTTCTATAACCATCATAATCATCCTCATCATCGTCGTCGACCTCATCACTGTAATTATCATCTTCATCGTCATTGTTAGCGTCATTGTAATATAATAATTATCATCGGACGTAGTGATCATTACCATCCTGAAAACAGTTATCATCTTCATCATCCTCATCATCGTCGACGTTATCATTGTAGTCATCATCGTCGTAATCGTCCTCATCATCTTCCATATCAATGTCAACGTCGCCATCATAATTATCATCGTAATCAATGCTACAAATGCTGTTACTAACATCACCATCACAATCATCATCATCGTAATCGTCATCATCGTAATCGTCATCATCATAGACATCATCACAATCATAATAATAAGAATAACCATCATCAGGACTCACCTGCCTCTAAGCTCAACCGCTTTTTGAAACTCTTTCTTATCCATAGCAGCCTGAACCTCCTTTGTCCTAGCCACACACTCCATGAGGGGCACCCTCACTATCTGGTTGCCATTCAGGGAGATGACGCAGGCGGGAGTGAAGGGAGTGGCCTCCATCAGGGCCAGCACAGCCTCAGCACCCATCCGACATCCCTGTTAGCGCATTCAATTTATTAAAATCATTGTCGAACGATTTCAAGTTCTCTGGGCAAATTATTTCCACCCCATACTAACAAGCAGGCGATCGAATGCGGATGGATTGCCTCCTCGCTGAACATGGCCCAATATGGTCACTCGAGTGTCGTACTTCAGTCTCTTGCTGATCAACTGTTAAAGTTCATGTTCATTACATTATATTGGTCAATAACATCAATGAATTCAGATAATTTATCAGTAAGGAAAATGATTGGCAAAGAACATGGACAAAAAACTTGAACAGACATCTTTGATTTGGTCAGCAGTGATGGGCCTGCCCTCCTCATCAATGGCGCCTTCAGAGACGATGATGATGTTCAACCTCTGTCCCAAACTTCTTTCCTGATTTAAAAGATAAAAATGAAAAAATTGTCGTTTAGATTACAACTGCCCAACAAACCTGCGCCAATTTCTCACACAGCTTGTCCTCCCATCCCTTCTCCGGCGGACTCTCAGGGATGAAAACCCAATCTGCCTCCGAAGCCAACGCAGCGACCAGGGCCAAGTAGCTGTCGTGGAAGCGTTAACATGGTGGTCGCCGAAAATTAGAAAAATGAAAAAATTATAAGTTATAAAATATTGAAACGATTATAGGATTAAAAAAAAATATAAATAGTCCTATAAGTATATAAATAGCTTTGGGTTTTAATAAAAGGAGAATTGAAGCCTTGTTTAAAAAAAATATATATATATAATTAAAAAAACTCTAACCCACAATGTCTGCCCATAACTTCCATCACAAAACATCTCTGGTGACTGCAATTTGAATGTTATAACTATGGAACCAGAATTGAAATTAACAAAAAGTGTACATATAAATATATATGTATACTTTTAATATATAAATATATACAATTTATCGTTTGTACATTGTACTTGCTAGCTCGTTATCAAGCATGACATCAACGATCAATCAAACATCATAAAAACTCCACAAAAATATTAGAAAACAAAGACCAGCCTGGAAGCTGTAGTGTTGATGTTATCAATGGCCTCAATTATCCGGTGCAGAGCAGAGTCAGTCCCAATTGTCATGTCGGTCCCGCAGAAGTCGTTGTCGATCGATCCGACGAGTCCCACAACATTCAGATGAGCACATTCCTGGGCTTTCTGACTGGTTATTCGACCTTTAATCATCATTAACATCATCGTTAACCCTTCTATCAAGTTTGTCGTGTGGTTCATTTCTTTCCAAATCCAACCAGCAACCAGCCAGCCAGCCTACCTGTCTTAACAAGTTCTTCAAGAAGACTGGACCATTCGATTCTGAAGAGGTTGGCCCCCGTAAGACTGCCATCTCCCCCTATGCACACGAGGTTGGTGATGCCACGTTCCAACAAGTTGTATGCTGCTTGCAAGCGACCCGGCCTCTCTCTGAAGTCCGCACATCGAGCACTTCCGATTATGGTACCTCCCTGTATGTGTGTGTGTGCGAGTTTATGTGGTGTCCATGTGTACGTGTGTGGTGAAAATAATAATGGTGATGATGAATGTGGTGATTGTAGTGTGGATGATAATGATCAGCACGAATAGCATATTAATAACCTGATGTAAACAACTTTCATGAAAATGAACTTGTTTAACATTGTGAATATTAACTAAATCAGATATTAAAGATGCAACAAATTTGAAAGAGTAACTCACAGACTGTATGATGTTGGACACGGACTTCCAATCTGCCAAAACAATGTTTGACCCTCCATCAACCATTCCTTGGTAGCCCTGAAATTCATTCATTCAATCATGCATTCATTTGTTCAATCAATCATTTATTCATTCATGTGTTCAATCATTTATTTATTTGTTTGTTTGTTTGTTTGTTTGTTTGTTTGTTTGTTTGTTTGTTTGTTTGTTTGTAGTAATGATGATAATGTTCATCTTTTTGGTTTATTTAAAAAACCAGTCAATTGTAATTTAATTTTTTTTAATCAAAAAAAAAGTTTCACAACAAAGATATATCCTCCTCTAAAAAAATATATGATCACTTTATTAATGTGAAGAGATTTTCGTTTATTTTTATAATTCAAATATTTGAAGCTAAATTTGTCTACAAATATCAAATATATAGTGTTCAACATATATTCAAGCTAATGTTCATTTCTTTACTAAATCATCTGACAATTTGATTGGTTCACCATTTCACCTACCTATTATAACACTCCTTCATTAATTTATTCTCTTCAAACAGCTTTGAAAAAATTGACTCTTAAGTCTAAGTTGTTTAAGATAGGAAATTTATCCATTTATTTTTTAAGCTAATGTGAGATAACTAACAGTTTCAATAAAACATTCCCAAAATAATTTTCAATGGCAATGTATCTAAACTAACGGATGAACATAAAAGTTCATTCATTTAAAAGCTGCAAGTAAAAAACCAATGTAATGAACAACATGCCAAAAATGGAAAATAATTCAATTGCAACGAAGACTAACTTCTTTGATAAGGTAGACTTTGCAGCCAACATAGATTCCCATCCTAACAATGGCTCTTGTTGCAGCATTCATACCTTCAGGTGAAGATGTTATATGTTAACCTTTATTTTATTTTATCATAATATCAGTCCATATGTGACTGTCATGTATGATGCATGTGTACATATTTAAAATAATTAATGAAAACTAAAAAAGTCTTATGATATCAGTTGTGCCGTTCATTGTATTTTTAATGTTATTTAAATTACATATGGCTATAAAACTGTTGATCCAATGCTGTCACAAAACCTTTAAATTCAATATATTTAACAATCTAAAATAATGAAACAGAATAGAAATGATGAAATTCAGTTGCCAGATAAACCTTGGGAATCACCGCCACTCGTGAAGACACCAATGACACAGCCACTGTAGCAATCTTTCTCAATTTTTTTACCTTCTGTCCCAGCAGTCACACAAATGCTCTGGCTCTTTTGGATTTTCCCAAGTGCAGCTGAATCATCCATTTTTAATTAATATTTTATTTCCAAAATCCTTTGATGAAAAGTAAAAACTGTAATAATTTCTTCTTCTAGATGACCTAAAAAATTCAGAAAATAATGTATTTTAATTTTAAATAGAACTGACAAAACATTTCATGATTGAATTGATATACTTATAATATAATATAATACCACATATTATATACTAATATTATACACACAATATTAGCATTATTAAAATTTAAATTTTGAGCAGCCAAGCTATGCAAAACTTGCAAAGTTGAATTTCAACAATAATGAAAAGATAATGTTCTAACTCTCTTCTCTTACCTTTCTTAATTTTAATAAAATTTTAATTTAGATTCTAATTAAATTCTATTATTAAATTAATTTTTTAAATTTCAAAACATGCATGAAAAAAATATGTGAAACTGTGTTGTACTAGTACTACACTTTGAAGTTTGATTTGATGACTTTATTGTTTATTACATTATAATATTTTACTTTTAATTTTAAATTAATATTAGTATCAATATTTAATCAAAAAATTAATATTTAAATTTTTTATAATATAAAAATAATGCAATTTAAAAGTAAATAAATAAAAGCCAGTACCACCAAGAGTCAGTTGTTCAATCAGTAATGCAAGAGAGGAACCAACTACATTAAACTGAGTGAAGCACGAATGTAAACACAACATTCGACCTTGAAGGTTAAATGAAGGTCAACAAGATACGGGCTCCACTTTACTCAAATAAGCAGTCAATATATGTATATAATAACATATAATAAAATATATTAACATAATAATAATTTATATTCTATATATATGAATATATCACATCATGTGAATTTGCATGTATATATAATCTTTATCATTTGCATACTCTGCTATGTGTTACTATGAAAAGTTTCAAATCAAGTTTTTTTAATGTTTTTTTCTTCTCGTTTAAGTGTGTCAGATATTTATAATTCCTTGGTATAGTCATTTAATGACCCATCATATGTTTTATGCGTTACATTTGTTTGTGACTATATAATATATATTTTCCACATTTCTGTTATGTTATGATACATAGCTGTTAAATGTTAAAAAAATTACACATACATAAAAGAGCGTAATAACGAGCGTAATTAACATACCTTGATGATTTCTTGAATGCTCACCCAATCCTACTGCGATTAAGATATCGGGTTCGTAACATTTGGTTTCGCTCCTTTAACTAAAAACCGTTGCAAGAATTCTTTGCTCCTTATCCGCTTTTTCAAAAAATCAAATAAAGGGCTAGTTGACATAAGGGGTCAGCTTTTCTACCATATGGATGGATGTTCTTCGTAGGCCTACGAACGTTTAATAAACTCAAAACAGGGAATGGTACCGCTAGTACTGATGGCGAATAACGTGTTGGCATTCTGCATCAGCTGTAGGGGTATTTATGAGTAAAAAGTAATGCTACTGTCATTTTAAAGTTCTGCAAGCTCCATTTGAGATCAATAGTTTCATACCAACTGTATTTTTGAAATCTTGAAACTTTCCAAGAAAAAACATTCAATTTAATTTGTATTTTATTGTACTTTTTGTGTTTCTTTGTGTCAACGAGACCAATAAAACGTCCATAGCAAGTCGGGTTCTGACCTGCGCGCTGGACAACACTGTACTATGCTCTGCACGTGCATGTTAGGCTATCTAAACTAGTACTTGACAAGAACCATGCTTGTTAGTTTTGTATTTACTATATATACTTTGTATAAACTGTATATACGCTATATAAGATATATGATCCGTATTGGTTAAAATTTATAAACATTGACAACAACCATATTAATTACAATTTTATTGAAAAACCAAATTATTGCCACAAAAATTGTTTCAGGCAATTTAACTCTGGACATGACATGACAACGTCGCATAAATATGTAATGGTACTTTTGAACGTAACATCAAATAAGTGATAAGTACAATGTTTAGAAAAATTTCAAACTCACGCGTAACATTTACGAGTTATTCTACATAAACTTTTAATCTAAATTTCTAATAATTACGTAAAAAAAATGCTCTCTCTAAAACGAAAATGACAAAAATTTTGCTGAAGATAAATAAATTTAAACAAATTTTGAAAATTTGCTTAATAAGAGGTACAGAAAGTCGCGCAATTTCCATTTTCATTCTTGGAAAAATCAACACAGGTCTGCTGCAAATAATTTAGACGTCAAATCTTACAATACTGCACGACAATTATGAATTAGTATAATGATAATTATGAATTTATATAATAATGACAATTATACAATTATAGTAATCTTTAACAGACGAAACGAACGCAGTAGAAACTAACTGCTGTCGTCATCGCTGACAGGTTCAGGAACTTCCTCCTTTTTATCTTTGCTTGTGCTCCTACTGGATGCGTCTTCATCCGTCTGGTCCATATCGTTCGGTTTGTTCCCTTCACTTGACTCCTCCTCCAGCCTCGTCCTATCTTCGTAATCTATGCAGTGCGGATGTTGTGTTGCGTTCGTAATCAATGATGATGTCATGTTGCGTTACCGCCCAAATAATTTTTATAGACAAATTCTCCAAATTACATTTCCCATGTATGAAGCTAGTTGTCTTACTTCGTTAAATAGTTTAAGTTATTTCTTTATTTTTAACTAAGTATTTAGTTTTATAAATTTTATTTCTAAAAAAATAATTAAACAAAGTTTAAAAATATTTTGACGCTTTCATTTATGAAGTTAAAAAAAGTTGGTCCAAAATTACTAGAAAAACATAGCATGCAAAAATAAATGATCAGAAAACACGATGCTAAAAATATCGATGATTAATGTTTGAGCTTTTAATTTTTCTAATAATAAAACTGAAGAATTTAGGTGCGTAGTTTAAAGCATTTTAAAAATATTAAAGTCGGTACTAGTTTCGATTATCAGTGGGGAAAAGATTCATTGAAAATGACCAGTGGCAAAATTATGATGACAGTGTTACAAGGTTCACACGCTCTTGTCCCGAAACGAAATTTTGCAAAAATTTAAATAAATATTTAAACTTATAAAACATTTAAAATCATTGCGTTTAATGAGAACATGACAAAAATATAACAAACAAAACAAATTTAAAAAAAAATTCAACTTTTAAGTAAACAAAAAAATTGCAAAAAAGATAGAGATGAGGGAACACAAGACTAGTCATCTAACTAAATAACAGACCACAAACTGTAAAATTATTTGGAACAAAACAGAAAAAATAACATTTAGTTTATAAACAATAAAAACTTTGTAAAATAATATCCGAACTTTAAAAATAAGGCTGCTCTGAAATAATATATATCTTTGGTCCTCTCAAAATATTTAAAGTTGAATAAAAAATAGTGTCAGAAATCAGTTTCTCGAAATTTCAAACTCTCAGTCATTTTGCTAAAGCAAGCATATGGGCTGTAAAAAAAATTAAATGAAAATGTCGGTAGAAAAATAAACTTGAGTAATTAAATTAATAAAGTTACTAAAATAAATTAAATATTTAAAATTAACAAGACAACAAAACATGAACGAAAAATAAGGTTCAGGCTTATGTTCAATATTTATAAAACAGTAGCTTAGTTATTAAAAATAATTTATTTCTTTAATATTAATGAACATAAAACTTAAGAAAAAACAAAATAAAATGCGGACAAAAAAAGCCAGAAAGAATATTGCAAGGACGCAAAACTTGTGCTAAGGTTAACGTTAACCTTGTAGAAGTTCGCTTGTGACTTTGCCACCATCGGTCGGAGTAGGTATGGTGATTTCCAGCTGAGGTGCATGTTGGTCACCATTTTCCAAAACAGGCAGTGGTGGAAGTGGTGGTGGTGGTGCAGATTCGTCCTCGAGTAATGTGGCAGGCTGGTCGTTGAATGAAGATGGAGGTAAAATTGGCTCTTCCACTGGGAATTCAGTGGTTGGAGGAGGGGGTATGAATCCCGGAGGACCAGGTCGCATCGGTGATTCTAGCCTCTGTAGATTTTAAACATTTAAATACTAGCCCATCATTAAACGCAAGTATATCTACAAACTTTTTCACTCTCTGCCGTGAGTTCTTCGACAACCAAGGATGGGAATACTCCCACTTTGCCATGGTATTCTCCCTCCCACCATCCATCATCAACTCCGTCGTGCAATTCCTTGCGCAAGATCTTAATGAGTTGGCCTTCGGGAAATGTTAGTTCTTCATCGTTCGTTGCATAGTAATCGTACAACGCTCTGGCCCACAAACCGTCTACAGGCAAAAATTTTGATAAATTTTTCACAAATCAGTTTTCAGTATAGATAAATATATAAAATATTTTTTAGATTTATTCTCATGATTAATTTATTTTTTGCATCAATAACAGGTATTATTTGTTACGATGGAAATTTCGAAATGGATGTAATGGGCGACCGTCAGATGGAACTAGGGGAGGTGTAGTCAGGGCGGCTTGCACCTCGTAATCCGCCGTGGAGTATGGTTGACACGTGCCATCTACATCTAAATGAAAAAAATGGTAAATTTATGGAAGAAAAACAAGTCAGGCATTATTAAATAAACGAAAATAAATTATCTAATTAAAACACATATCCAACATTATTAGATAAATTAATTTAATGATAATAGCTGACCTGGTGAAAAGACAGCAGTGCAAACTGGTGGCGGGGGAGGAGCTTCACTTGGAAAGGTCTGTGGAAATTTTTATTTTCCTTTTAAAATAGTATTTTAGTAACTGCCTGAATGAATGGTGTTTGACTTTATCGTCTTATCAATGATTAATTAGGTCGTAAAAACTAAAACGTTGTCAATGGCAATAAATTTCTAAAAATAAAAAAGTGTGAATATCTGACTGATTCAATGTTAGTGTCATAGGGTTGTATTTCTCCTACGGTTTCTTCATAAGCACCATAACCAACGTCATTGGCAATGTTGGTACTTCCGTCGTGAACAGGTGCTTCCATAGGGGGCAGTGTCGTGGATCCTATGTGGATGTATCCGACGGGGACCAGGCCTGTATGCCCAATATGGTTACGCGCCTGTGTGAAAAGATCATCAAGGTAAATTAATAATACAAATACGTTTAAAAGATTTTGCGCTAATCATCGCAGAAACGTTTTCAAGTACAACTCGGTGGCTTCAATTGAAGTTGTTCTTGAATAATTGTTTGACCAACTAACCCTGATCCATCCATCGTGTATTTCTCCCAAGGTCTCCAGTGGCTCGCCCTCCGCCACATCCAGCTCATCACTGTTGGCACCCTGATCACAAATTTTTTACGTAATTATAAATACGTTAGAAAATTCATTTAAATAGATACGTTATAGACAGGAACTAATAAAACTTGAAAAAATTACAAACACGAATGACTTTGGTCTTAATTGAATGACCTGGAAAGCGTAAAGAGCCACAGCGGGTTGTCCAACTTCCTCGACAACGACGACATCCCTTTCATCGTCTTGTGGCATTGAACTGGCCGGTGCAGTTGTTGTTGTTGACGTCACGAAGTCATCCGTGAAAGCGTTGTTGCTGTTGTTTGACAACTGCTGTGAAGTGCTCTCTTTCCACGCCTCATCGTCATTTGAAGCGCTGTACATGGCGTCATTCCAAATGTTGCTGGTGTCTGTTGTACTGGATGATGGAGGTGCCTGCTGCTGTAACGTGTCGCAAATGATTTTAAATGTTCAAATGCAAATTAAGTATTGTTAACGAGAATTTAACAAATCAAATTTCGCCATAAACTTTTATTAGCTGTAAAAAATGAAAAACATAATCAGTTCGGGACTTCCGCAATTTTGTAATAAAAATCACAGAAAGTATTCGAGATCGCCGAAATAGTTTTTTTCTTTTTCATGGCAGCGAATTTTGCGGGCATGTATTAAATACCTTAAAATTTTTTATTGTTTCTCATTCAGATATCCTTCGCCCTTTTACAAAAAATCTTATTCCGATTGACATCTCATGTGAATACCAAACATTCAACTATTTAGCTAACTGGTCATGTAACAAATCATTTATTTCCAGCAATATAAGTATTCTAAAGATTTACTTTTATACTAGAGACAAAAAAACTTTCCAAATGTCAAAGAAAAAGTACTTTTAAATTGTCATCTTGTATTTCTCTGCTGTTTCGCATGCTTCCCCCACCAGTCTTCTCCCCTCCGGCATCACCGTTAGTAACGTGGGGGGTCGATGGGGACACAAGGTTTAGGGGTTCTTCCTCATCTTCAGGTGTTTTCGTTTCAGTACGAGCCGACAAGATGAACGCATCTGTGTTGATGCCTGCTTTTTTCAAAGCATCCATCCTTGCCTCCATCTTCGTCCTCTCAATCTATGAACATTTTGCAAAAGTGTGTTGCAACCGTATTTAATTTTACCATCTAAGAAAAGACAACATATTTATTTTAGAAATAAATTATGAACTAGCAGTTAGTAATTTTAATACCAATAATAATAATAATGAAAAAATTATTTTGAGACAAAATTAGGAAGCTAACAGTAGACTTCCGAATAATTTGTTTCATTTCCTCGATTTTAACTTGCGGGTCGACAGTTCCACCCCCACCGACGTTGGCCTCAGCTGTCTGGTCGGTGCTCTTCTGCTACAGGTTTGTAAAAATAATTATTTTAATTAGGCATACAACGTTCGAAACTGTAACAAAAATTTACATTCAAACTAAAATTCGCGTAAATAACGACTATTTGTTAAATGCATCATCTTAAATTTTACAATATAATTTAGGATTATTTTTTTAGTTAGTGTCATAGGCAAGTGAAGTTCGTGCCCCTTATTTTTTCCATTTATGTTATGTTCTTATATTCCCAAGTAAAGGCAGACGCGTGAGACTTCGAATTTACATTAATGAAACAATAAAAACGAAACCGTTCTTATCAAAATAAAATGATAGTGCGTTCGCGCCATGCAAGCGTTAATCTCTTATCTCTAAGTACGTACATTGTTAATGTTACTTCACATCATCATATTTTATATTCATTTATTTATTTATTTAGGGCACTTCTCAGAGGTGGGTGTTAATTTTTGATTTAAATTGTAGGGAAATGGAGGAAGGTTAACTGACTGGCTTATTTGTTTTATTAATATATGTGTTGTCTCTGTATAATGTGTTTGTTTGTATGTATACGTCCAAATACCAACATTATGTATATATTATATTTATTTGTATCAATTTAATAATTTATTTAGTATATTTATTTATTCGTTTGAAAATTTAAAATTAAGAAGCAGGTGAAAAACAAACTTTGCTGGCACTGGTTGACTGATCGATAAGCCGCTGAAGTTTCTTGGATGCTTGTTTGATCGCTCTGTCTTCCTGGACGTACCTGGCGGCACACTTCTTCGTCTCTGCTTCCATCGGAGTTGAGTTCTGAAACTCTGTGGAAACCTTCGATATCTTCGAGGATTTTGTTACATTTATTTTTATGTTAAGTCAAATAATTGAAAAGAGTACATTTTATTTGATAATTACGTAAATTCCAGCTAACATGATACCGTGTAGTTATTTATAATATCTACTTGAAATTGTAGTTATCGTCTGATTCGCCAGCAAGTTGATCAAGAGACTCGATGTCTTGTGTTTTTTTTTACGAAACGGATATATCGATATGGATATATCAGATATATATCGCATATCGAAACACGTAATTGAAACGCTTGTTTGATGAAAATGAACATACGTATACGCTGTGTTGGTCGCGTTGAATTTAGGGGTGTTGCAAATAATTTGCGGAAAATAAAAATAATAGACTCACATTGTCATTGTCTTGCGGTTGAAATTGGTATTGAATGAGGTCAACGAAGATGGTGTTGTCAGCCAGGAATCCTCTCAGCTGGAAGTCTCTATTTACCTGAACATTAATAATAATTTACGTTTGAACAACAAGGTACGTGAACACGTGAAACGCATGTTGTACGTGCCGAGACAGGATCCGAAACTAACAAATCGGATAATTACAATAAGATGTGTAAATGACTAGAAGTTAGTGGAGAAACAAGTAAATCAGTAGAAGGACTAAGAACTGCTTCAAAAACAAATATGCAGATTGGTTGGATAGCTTGGTCGGTTTTACAATAAACTTTAAAAAGCGCTCATTTTAAGTCAAGCAAGTTTTAAGGATTCCTAGGCATTGCTAAGTATTTGGCTAGATTAAGGAGTATTTTATTTAAAACTTTAACTCTATCAGAGACGGCCGAAGTTAAATAATTATACAATATATTACTTAGTCATTTAACATGGCAACAGCGCGGTTTGTTCATGTATGTTTATTTTAATAGACCTTGTTCGAAATGTAATAATGGCAATATGAATACAGCAAATATTATATTAAGCGTATGTAGATATGTCACATATCGTACACACACTTATTGTCTGGTGCATAGGAGGTCGAAAACATCATTAAAAAGCATCGTGATTTTAAGCAGAAGCCAACACGAGTGCATGCGAGCAGGTGTTTAAAAGTGAAATATGATGCAAATAGTGTACTTGAAGCTGGACACGTGAACATTATACTCTGACGCTCCTCTGAAGCATTATAGAGTATATTTAAACTTAATTACGGTATTCATATTTCACTGGTATGTTGCATGGCTTTTGAAATAAGGCAAAATATGTAAATGTTGCATTTGGGGTTATTAAATTCAGTAGATTGGTGGAAGAATAATTGAGATGCCACATGGTATCTCTATCAACCGCTGCTATATTGCCCGAAAAGATTAACGAAAGATGACATTTAACATATCTTCTAGCATATACTTGCAACGAGTCAATAACAAATTGATCATCATTGGTATTATTTTTTAACCAACGACTCAACAAGTTTCACACGTCACACCACACCACACCAACTTTGGTGGAATCAGCGAGAATCCTCATGAAGCACTCCTGCGTAATTCCGCATGACTGCAGTTCAGCCTGGCAGAACAATGTGAAATATTCCTGCATCTTCTCGTATATCTCTCCATCCATTGACTGGTTGGTTGGTTTTTAGTTGGTTGGTTGGTTGGTTGTTGGTTAGATGTTGGTTGGTTGATTATTGGTTAGATGTTGGTTGGTTGATTGGTTAGTTGGTTAAATGTTGGTTGGTTGTTGGTTTGGTTTGTAGGTTTGGTTTGTTGGTTGGTTGGTTAGTATGTATTATGCAATGCTTAAATTCCACATTTATTAAAAATTTCATAATTCCGTGTGTTGATGATTGTTCGAAGAATTAATTAACTGAAATTTTAATTTGAAGTAGTAAAAAAATGTATATTCAACCGGTTAAAATGTACTAAGCCTATACAAAAATAATTTAATTGACATTATTTCAACAAAACACAGAAATGAAATCAAGGTTAAGATTGCACCATGATGAGTTCGGGTGCGTCCTTGCTGTAATATTGGTTGAGTTGGGCGTTGACGGCCGCCAGACACAATAGATACTCGTTGCGAGCAGCTGTCGATTTCGCTTCACAAGCCTCTCTCCTCGTGTTCAACTGCACGATCGATCGATCAATCAAATAGTCAATCAATCAATCAATCAATCAACCAATCAATCAATCAACCAACCAACCAACCAATCAATCAATCAATTAGTCATTCAATCAACCAACTATATGCACACACTGGTTATTTTGTGAACAGATCGAGCTTATTCAATCGTACCAAAGTTATATTATTGAGATGAATGAACGTTTTATTATATTATTATAGTTGGTTTGATTGAGATGTAGAAGTTACCAAAGTTATATTATTGAGATGAATGAACGTTCTATTATATTATTATAGTTGGTTTGATTGAGATGTAGAAGATTATTATCCAAATTAGTTTCTAGTGTCAATAACAACAAAAAGATATTTGTATCAACCAAAATGGTACAGTTGTACACCTTAATCAACCTAGTTTTGATGTTATATAAAGTCCTCTTGAAACGCATCGGTACAAATTAGCTAGTTTGGAGAACAATGAAGTACAAAAAATGATGCTGTATGATGATAGTGACAAAAATGTTGATGATGTCTACAACAACTACGATACTTAAGTAATAATGATAATCAGACCACATTAACAACAGCAACGTTTTTTATGGGTGCAGTAGTGTGCCCTAAGGGTCAAAAGTGAACAGGTATGATGAGTAGGAAGCAGAGGGCGCTTAATTAAAAGTTGCTTGTGATGTTCGTTTTTTTTGGTTTGCTACACACACATATACAAATATCCCCCCCCCCAAAAAAAAATATAGCATCATTCTCGATTTGCTTTCCATATTATTTAGACAACTGTGTTTACCTCGAACCTCAGATATTTAAGAAGTAATTAATAATCCAAAGATTGATTCATTGAATATTAAAAAGATGTGATGTTCTCTTTTAGTTCAGTGGAGTGTTTCTTTGATAGTAAAATGTCCATACTTATTACGGTAGCTACTGAAAAATTTCTTTACCTGGTATGGTACAATGAAACGGGACGTAGAATGCAATTTAAACTTTTATCCCTTTCTCTCTCTCTTTCTCTCTCTCTCTCTCTCTCTCTCACTCTCTCTCGTTAAGTGTTTGTTTTTTAACTTTAAAAGTCATAACAATATGCTTAAATACAGCAAATGTTGTGAAATCATCAAAAAAGTAATTAATAATCCAAAGATTGATTCATTGAATATTAAAAAGATGTGATGTTCTCTTTTAGTTCAGTGGAGTGTTTCTTTGATAGTAAAATGTCCATACTTATTACGGTAGCTACTGAAAAATTTCTTTACCTGGTATGGTACAATGAAACGGGACGTAGAATGCAATTTAAACTTTTATCCCTTTCTCTCTCTCTTTCTCTCTCTCACTCTCTCTCGTTAAGTGTTTGTTTTTTAACTTTAAAAGTCATAACAGTATGCTTAAATACAGCAAATGTTGTGAAATCATCAAAAAATCAGGAAGTTGACCAATGTCGAAACCCAATGACTCACCAAATATTCAAATAAACAAGTGAATGTATGAATGAAAAAAAGAAAAAATTAATAAACAAATGTAATTTGCACAAACATCTAGACAAAATGATTAGTCAAGTTAAAATATTCAAATAGCGAGCAATTATAGCAGCATTAGTAATAATGCATATAATTGCACGTGCCATTTTCTCCGTTACCTCTTCTATATAACGAAGTCAATTTGGAGGATGATTACTTCGATATAATAAAATCTTTGTACGGTTTTTAACAAGAGCACCAATATCGCATCTTATTACATGAATCAGTATAATACGCACGTAAATGATACGTTTGTATGTGTGTGTAGGTACGCACATTGTGTGGTACAAAAAAATCACGAATTTTTGCGTATATGTACGCGAGTACTATACATGTACACATATTGTATCAGTACGCAGGTATGCCACGCAACAATTTACACATATCTGTACACATGTATATTGTTATTGTATGTTCGCTGTGTGCCATGTTTGTATGTTAGGTGTATGTTATTGCAGAAACGAACCAGGTTTAAATGGAGAACGAACCTTGCTGCTTTGTTGCTGGAGTTTGGAGAGGGAGGTGAAGATGCCGACTGACTTCTTCTTTACTCTGTTCAATTGTTTTCGTTGGATTACTTGTGATCTATTTCATCAATTTAACAAAGTATGGTAAAGTTAAAAATGCCAAGAACGACATTATGAATTTCAAGAAAATCTATTCAATGTGTATTCAATCATGCACGATTTCTATAATTGTTATTGTTGTTATTATTATTATTAATATCATTATTGTTGCTGGTGCTGTTGCTATTATTATTATTATTATTATTATTGTGGTTAATATTATTATTATTATAGAATTGCAGCTTTCATTAATGCTGATGTTGTCATGGAGATATCTACCTTCGCTTCATATGCCTATAATTATTATCATAATGTCTAATCTTATTATTATTATTACTTTATCACCAATAACTTCCTTGAAGCAAGCCACAGTAGTTAATTAATGGGCTGTTATGCGATCAATTTGTTTTCAAAAAGTGAACGACTATGTGAATGATGACAAATAAGCAAATAAATTAAATTAAATATTATTCAAACACTGCATAACCTAAATCATTTCAAAAACAGTTGAATTCAAAATTTCAACAAAGCGTTCTTTTTCAAATGTCACATAGGGGTACTTTGAAATTAATTTTTAATTTCTCTCTCCTCTCTCTCTCTCTCTCTCTCTCTCTCTCCTACACACATACATACACACACAAAAAAAAACACACGCACACGCACATTAACTTGCACTGTATTAGTTACGGTCTAAAAGTTTTCACAATTTAATCCGCCTAAACTCTAAATAAACAATTTAACTGTTCGATTTACTGGTTTGGTGTTTCTTAATCAAAATATGGCCTAAGATTAAAAGATCAGCAATGAATAAATTTCAAATCGAAAACAATCATCCGTCGACAAAACTAAGAGAACGGAGAAACAAATTTACGAAACATTTTGACACGGAATAAGTGATCAGTGAACATCGCCGATTCCGTAACATTTAAGGGCAAGCAAGATGTATTTTCAAGCACGGCTACAAAGAACATTAATTAGATTTCTATTTTCATTTAAATATTGAAAGTTTCCTGAAATTATTTAACCCATCAATCCAAATCCAAAAAACAATCAACATTTATTAATTTCTAGCTAGACTGAGATTTCACTTACAATCTGAATTAATAGATGAAAATTTGAAATTTTCTATAGCATCGATACTACTTATGGTAGCACCTAAAAAAGTACAAGTTCACTCAAACTCATCCCAACTATAGAAAACAACAACAAAAGACAAGTGCAACTCATACAACAGAACGCAAAGAACGTGAATAATTATTACACATCAACATAGAGAACGACACAAAGGGATGGCATCTGCCTAGTGATCTAGCATACAAGTCAGTACCCATTTCATACAAACCATCATCAACCACCGAACTATTCCAACCATTGGAATGGGAGGAGGATGAATGATGTTAAAACATTCAGTTGAGGTGGTTCTGTTATGAAAATCAGCCAGTTAAGAAGGAGAAAAAGGAGATATAATGTTAATAAACAAAGATGTTATTGTCGTGTCAGTCTGTCTGACAAAGTTCTTAAACAATGACTGTTTGAAAAAAGCTTAAGATTATCATTCCAAAAAACGCTGTATAGATATGTGCAGATGTTTATTTTGCACTGCAAGTCAAGTTATTGAATGGAAATCATAGGAAATGTAGTTGTAATTATTTTTGTCTAGTTTAAAATAACATACAATCTTACACAATTCAATGATCGTGATAGGAAAGCAACCAGGATATCAAATAAGATATCATACAAGATATCATATAAGACATCATGTAAGGTATCATATAAGACAGTAAGTATCTTAATTGGATTTCGTGACGTCAAAATAAAAATGAACAACCTGACTAATAAAACGACTGCGATAAACCAAAAATAATATAAATATCAACAAATAAATAAATAAGAAATGGCATCTTTGACAGAAAATGTCATAAAAAATTATCGCAAGATGACGCTAACCACAACAACGAGCTTCAGACAGTTCGCATCAAAGAAAATGCAGACTTTAAAGTTAGCTTAAACTTTAATACAAAAGTAAAGTTAGTCGGTGTGTGTGCGTGTGTGTGCGCGTGTGTAATAATGAGGTAATGATTAAGTAAATCATTAAAACAAGCAGTGTATCATATAATAAATATATCCATGTGTGTGTTTGTACCGGAAGTAATATTCGTTCCCCGTTCATTTCCGTTCTCAATTTAATTTTCAAACCAGCCAATTCCAGTTTGCTGAATTGATGAATTAAATTCACCATTAAAACACTTCATTTGATTAACGTTACATATTATTACTATTTTTTGTACAATAAGGTTACGTGATTAGCTAACATAATTTTTGTTCAATTCCTCTAAGAAATGTTTGTAACTTGATTTGTGCCATTAGGAAGTTTGTTGTGCAGTTAGTTAAATGTAAAAGTTTTGAAAACCATTAAATTGAATCAAATTGGGAATTGTATTAGTGGATATCGGAAATCTTTAAACAAGAAAATTGAAAACATATTTTATGAATGATACCATCGAACGATATATTATTGATAGTAGCAGTTGAAGTAGGTTATTTAAAAAAAAATTCATTTGCCTAGATTAAAAAACTATGTCTGTAAAACAACAAAAAATAATAACTTATTATTATTAAGATTATTATTACCAATACAATTGTTATTATTATGTGTTGTTTGAAACAACAAGTAAGCTAATGCAGAACCAATTAACGTACGGTGCATACTTCTGGTTTGAGTTTTATTACCGTGTTAATACAAAGGTTTCGTTGTTATCCCAATCGCCTTCGTAATTTTCATTAATTTTATTATCATCATAATCTGGCAACTCTCCAATGAATAACATTTCCATCATACGCTGTTGCATTTTCACGTTAACTACAACAGCACATCACAACTGAGACATCAAATACGTTATTTAAATTATAAACACTCTTACAAAACTAATGCATGCATCCATGCATCCATCCATCCATCCTACTAACTTGTCATCTGCATCGGCGGCCTTCACCCTAGCATCATGTGCAATGTGCTCCTCGTCTTTGTAGGTCTTCTGAAGTTTCGTCAGCTCTTGGATGCTCATCGTCAGATCTTTCTGGATCTCGATCAGATTCTCAAACACCTGTAGCATATGTTTTCAACGCAATAAAATGTTATTTCAGATTTTAAAATCATTTCAATGAAACTTCAAATTTTATCATTTCAACGAACACTAATTTATTTTCAATGTCCTTAATTGTGATATGAAAATAACATTAGTATAAAACTTAATCGTACCAAATAAACTTTCTAAAAAATTGCAATAAAACGCAGCAACAGTTGATGCAACAGTTGATGCAACAGTTGATGCAACAGTTGATGCAACAGTTGATGCAGCAGTTGATGCAACAGATGATGCAACAGTTGATGCAACAGTTGATGCAACACGTGTTGCAGCAAATAATGCAACGACATGTGCAATACACACGCAACTTAGAGTGCAACACGCATAAAGTACAACGTACATAGAACGGCTCACCTTTTTAGCCACTTGAACTTTGACCCCTCTGACTAGCTTGCATGATTCAGAGATTTGTTGCGAATAAACATCGGCTGCGGACAAGCGAGTCTTGCCAACACGATCAGTTTCCTCGAGTAGCGTCTGCCAGACCTCGTGCATCGTCCTATAACATTCAATGTCATTCAATTAAACAATCTCTAATTTAAATTTTGATCATAATTTTTAAACGTAAAATTGAAAATAAATGCAGAAATAATTGTAAATGAAATAAATTAAACATATTTTTTAGTCCAATAAATGGAAATTATTTAATGAATATTTATTATTGAAAATGTTGAACAAAACATGAGTGGTCGTATCGAATTAACAAAACAGACTGATGCTGTGTAAAACATCTCAGATTAAAACATCCTTCCAGAATATTTACAAACAAAATATCGATCTCTGTGAAATAATAGATAACACACGTACGCATGCAATGTATTTAAAAAACCTAAAAGATATTTAATGCTTATAACAAATGTGAATAAAGTACTTACTGAACAATAAAAAGTAAAAATGTTTTTAAAACAAAAATAAATATTTCTGTAAGAAAATGAAAATTTAATCAACTGCGCGATGAGACATAATAAATAAAAATGAATTCTTGAGGAAATATAAATATTATCAGTTAAACAATTTAACACGAAATAAGAAAAAATTAAAATAATTCAAAATGTTTCAACAGAACGATGACACGAAACTCGCAGATAATTAAATTAAAAACCTGTCTAAAAATATTTAAAAAAGAAAGAGAGTCATTGTTATGAATCACCTCCAGTTAAAAATCAAAAGTTGGAAGAACTTAATCATCAAGATAAAAACTCCAGACATAACAAAAATAATTTTTTGAAATATGTAATAAAATATCAAAAATATTTTGGAAACAAAAAAGTAATATGAGAGGATGAAGATACAAACAAAAAATTGAAAGATGGGAAGAGCGAGGAGGGCAAAGGAGAAAAAAGAAATGAATGAGAGAGAGAGAGAGAGAGAGGAAGAGAAGGGAGCGAGAAAGAAGAGAGAGAGAGAGATAGAGAGAGAGAGAGAGAGAGAGAGAGAGAGAGAGAGAGAGAGAGAGAGAGAGAAAGAAAGATGTTTATATTCGGCTACTCCTGCATACATTTGATATTTATAAATTTATATACGGTGCAAAAAAACAGCAGCACGTTTGAATTCACACATGCAAGCACACACACACACCACATGCAAACACACACACACACACCACATGCAAGCACACATACACACACCACATGCAAGCACACACACACCACGTGCAAGCACACACACACACCACATGCAAGCACACACACACACCACATGCAAGCACACACACACACACACAATTTTGTACAAGACGTTGCATAGTATAACCCAATAACAATTTGGTGAAAACTGATTCGTCTGCCTTTCATTAGCCGGTGTACTTCGGAAGAAGACTTACTATTACTAACTACATGGACTACTGAACTTAATCTAAGCACGATGATGTTAATGATTAGGTGCTGTCTTGCTAAATTACTTCTATATAGGCGCCACACGGGATAAATATATATACGCGCAACAATTTGCAATGCTAACTCGAATACTTTTTTCATGCAATTTCTTCATTCCCTGCACTTTTCCTTGCTTATTAACGTCAAAACAATGAGTAAACTAACGAGCGTTATTGTTTCGTTCACAATCCAAAGTTCAAATTAAATTATTATATGTGGGAATTTTTGAACTTTTTCCTTCTTAGCATTTTCAAGTTTGTTTCACACGCTTCGTTCTCTTTCAAGACTTTTTACTTCTTCTGACGTTCACTAAATTACGCATTTCATAAGTATTGCTAGGCTTGTTAACGAAACTTTGAATAAAAATGTTTGAAAACACATTCACTTTTTTCTGATCTACATTAGCAAAATGTTCATTATTTCTATCATCATCGTCGTTCATTCTCAACAGGCGTTCGTTATTAAAAGTTCAGAAGACTCTCAAGTGGCAATCCATTTAAATAACAGTCCGCCTGCATCGACTACGTGCATCTCGTCAGCGATGATACACTCCATCCACTGGACTTGAAATTTGCAAAAGAAATATTGAGATTGTGGTTGTATTAATTTGTGGAAGAGAAGTGATCAGACTATGCGAAGGGTACAGGAGACGAACCTATGGTCACATGTTATCGTCAGACAACTGGACAGGGATTATGGTTGGAATTTTGTGTCCATTTTAATCCAGGAGTGTTTTTAAAGGTAGCATTAATTATAATTATAGCTATTAATAATTATTAATATGGAAGTCTTGACGATGAACACGCTGGTGGTGGTGATGTTATGGTGATAATAATGAAAATGATATATGGATATAATTTATCAGCGTCGAAACAAAAACAACAACAACACCAGTGGCAGCAACAGAATGGATCGTCTGAATGTTAATATCTATGACCAGCAAATTATACTAATGAGCTCAATGAAAGGTATTAACACATCTCAAGTCTGCCTTATCTCCAATGCATGTATCCTACATCCTACAAAAACACACTTGAATGCACATATACACACTCATCCACAACACAGCACACCACACAATCTTCGTGCAAACTATCTAATATACTTATCTATGTAAGCATTTATTTACGGGCAGAGCATATATGCGTGTATATTATCGTTTATTCAAATGAAAATGTTAAAATATGCATTTAATATATGTGTATGCGTAAATACATTATTGTGTTTCTTTTGTGTGTGCGTGCTTGTAGCGTGCGATGAAGTCAGTATCAGCAGTAGCAGAGGAGAGAAACAAACAGACAGACAGACATGCAGACAGACAGACAGGTAGGCAGATAGGTAGGTAATATGATGATGCAGTTGTTGTTTCGCGAGTTCATTGCTGATTCATCCATCGTGAACTAACACACAACAACTTTAAGAATATTATATCAAATCTCTTACGGTGATCATCATCGTCGTCGTCGTCACTACCATCATCAGCACAACTACCATCCTCACCACCATTCTCACCCTCTGAGACTGCACCATAATTTTTGTTTTCCTCTTTCAATGTCTCCTTCCAGTATTTTTACTTTTTAACTGCCTAGGATATTTGCAACAGAACAGATACGGATGTTGCCAGTTAACAACATTCAACTCAATCCCTTACATCAACAACTTCACCAACGAGTTTCAATCAACCTCTACCTTAAATCAATTCTACCTTTCGTTATAATGGCTTTCTTTCTTACAGCCGCAACAAGTATTTTTTATCACAAAACAAAAAAGTTGAGCACTTGTTTTAATTGTATCTTCAAGTAGAAAACAGAAGCAAGTAGTTGATAGTATCAAACTGTCGGGTGATTTGCACACCCTCGTAACGTGAGAACAACTGACTGACTGACTGACTGACTGACTAACTGTTCGTTTGATCATAGCTTCTAATTGCACCACCACAATAATCAACATTCAAGAGACTGTTCATTAGGTTTGCGATAATAATTATTCGTCTCGTCTCACATCTGCCTGGTGAAAATATTCCCAAGTGAAACTTTTTTATATAAAGTGTTCAGGTACTTGTTCTGTTTAAAAAGAATGGATAAAAACCAGTCTTATAGACATTAGATGCATGTGATGACACAAAATTAACATTACATACTTATTTTATTTCAGCATATTTTTTCCAATATAATTTCGCAAACTTTTGACAACATTTGACACTTCCGTCACACCATTATAATTGCACCATCAGTTGCCAGCTAACATCGTTGTATTTGACTGTCCATTATTTACAATTTATACTCAAAAATTATATACCTCTAAAAATAAATTAGACTACTCTGTGTATGTTATTGTGTAGATGTGTGTGTGTGTGTGTGTGATGTTATTGTGTAGATGTGTGTGTATGCGTGTATGTGTGTGTGTAGGCGTGCGTGCGTGTGTGTAAAATTTAACAACTTTATATAATTAAATAATTCTTGTGAAAGTTAAGGAGCAATTAAGTTGGAAACAGAACGGGCATCCTGTGTTTACCCAAGAGAGAAAAAAAAACAAACGAACAACAGTAATAATGTTGATGAGGCTGATGATAACACGAGATGATGTCTGTCTGTGATGAGTGAGTAGTGAGTAAGTAACGAATGCGGTGGTTTAGGATAGTGATTAAGATGATGGTGAGGAAGAGGAGGAAGATGACAATGACGATGATGACGACATAAGAACGTGATGAGAACGGTAACAACAATGACGATGATAGTATAAAGAAGAAATTGCGCTGAGAAACACGCAAAAAGTTCAAGTAGTTAAATGACACAAGCAGACGACACTGATGAACGGACAAAACAACATCAGCTATTCGAACTTTCTCTTCTGCACCAGATTGGACTTTCCAAAATGGAAAAACCAAGAAAGAAAGGAACGAATGAAAAAATAATTAAAATTTAAAAACATATATTCATAGACATGAATGGGTCTGACATATTAAAATTGAAAATGATAATGTAAGTAGAGTAAGTGACATGACGATGAATGAGTAAATTTATGATGGGAATGAAAAGTCGGGGAGAGGAAAAGAGAGAGAGAGAGAAAAGAAAAGAGAGTAGATAAGGCAATTAACCTCAAAATTAATAACATTCGTTTCAGTTCCTCATACAAAAAATAAAGATGCTATGAAGAAATTATGGTGTTCGCATTTTCTAAGATAATTATGATGAAGATGAAGAAAAAGATGATGAGGATGATGAATACTATTATGATGACGATGATAAAGATGATGGTGGTGAAGCAGATGATGAAGATGATGACGACGACAAAAAAGAACATTTTAAACAGAAAAAAAGCAGTGCGTTGATTGACGAAATGTGATTTTATTTTTTAGGAATTATGCAAAAAAAACTTAAGAGTTATTATACTTTTAAATTCATTCGAAGCAGTAGCTACAGAATTGTAGAAAGACTAACTGGCTGAAGGATGACGATGATGATGACGATGATAACGCCAATGATGATAATGATGATGATGACGATGATGATGTATAGGAGGGCAGTGATGATAGTGATGATTGGTGTCGATGATGATGATGACGACGACGATGTCGAGACGACGATGATGACTAATAAATAGAGGCAGAGAAGAAAGCCA